GCAGAGAGTGGTCATTGAGGGTGCATCATCGGGGTGGCATAATGTCACCTCGGGTGTCCCTCAAGGTTCCATTCTGGGGCCTTTGCTGTTCAACATATACATCAATGACCTCATTCCACGTTTTAAGCACTCGCAAAGCCTTCTCTACACTGATGATTTGAAACTTTTCAAAAATATTAATTGTATCGATGATGCTCGCGGGCTCCAGGAGGATCTGGAAACGCTGTTTCGGTGTGGGCATCAGCCTCGTGTATGATTTTACATCCGGATAAGTGCAAGATCTTATCAATTACATTGAAAAAGAATCCTTTGGTATTCAAGTATAAAATTAACAACAATGAACTCGAAAAAGTGGACTTTCATAAAGACTTAGGTGTATTTATTGATTCCAAATTAACTTTTACCCACCATGCCCTGGGATAGGCTTAGCTTTCTTGCCGTCACTCTGCTATGTATACTACTACCGCATAACAAAGAAAGCGACCCACATGGTGCATTCTTAAATATTACACACATTATTTAATTTATTTAATTGTATTGTAACTTCACATCCATCTTCGCATCTCGATGTAAAACAAAATGTCGGAAAAATTTTTTTTTGACGCATGCGCATTTGTATAAATGTCTACACGCACACACTACACACAATAAAAAACATAGGAAATAGCAAGAGTGATTACAATAGTTCCTATTGCCATGCATAGGAACTAAAAATGTCAGTTCTTAAAATGTGTAGGCACTGTGTCTTTAATTGTTTTTACAGACTTTCTATGTTTTGTGCAATCATCATCAGCATTCATGTATTTTTAATAATTTAATTTATACTGGTGCTGAATTGAACAGATTAAAATCAAAGCTTTTATTTAGCAGGGAGGTTATAATTTTTCTTTACAGAAACAAAAACATACTAGCCTAAAAAGAAAACATACATGTTGTAGAATAACATTTGGATGGATGCTCCGAACTCATAAAAACACTTCGCACATCGGTGTAAGATATGCTAAAGGAGGGGAACAAGGTGCATATTTGTTCAACTAAACGCAACCTATGATGAGTTGACAGAAATTGCAAAAGCTGCATATCTACCAGAGGGGAAGTCCCCATTTTGTAGCATAGAAGAGATCATCATCGACAGCAACTTAAAAAAAATAAAATGTATGATGCCTAAATATTAAAA